TTTTCCTCGTGTTCACTATATTTCTTTTCGGTGGATGAGACAAGGCGATGAGATCGATAAAAGTAGAGGTTAATCTAAACAATTAGATGCGATTTTTGTGAAATGACTTATTAAGTGATGTGCATGTACCTAGCTTGTTTAAATTCTTGAATTTCTAATTTGTAAAATCTTTCATACACAGCCTAATATTTGTATTACTCTCAGGCCATACTATTCGATATTATTGTGTTACACATGACTCTTGGAAACCTGAAGCACAGGGCATTGTGGAAGTTAATTCGCTACGGGGTCTTGTTATCCTTCATGCAGTTTTATAGCTGGGATGAACACTGCGAAGAAGAAACAGGCTTTTCTTAGCTTTACTTAATTTAAGACAATTTAAACAAAACCAATGTGCAAGGCTTGCTTTGATTTGGCGTTAACCTGACACTGGTTTTAAAAGAACAAATATAAACATGTTGGATGGATTAAATCACCAACTTTGTTATATTTTAACTAAATGTGTTAATTTACACAGTAACACAGATAATATTTATAAGTTGTCTGTCGTTCAGCACGCATTATAAGCGAGTAGCTAAACAGTGACGATGGTCAATCAAAGCAATTATTGTTTACAAAATAGATCATGATGAATAAACTTAATTACGCTTTAATAAATAATCAACACAGGTTCGGTTATTGTCACTTGAAAGCTTTCGATCAAAGACATTCAATGAAATCACAAATCATTTGACGATTAAAAAATGGACAGGTTCAAGGGGCAGTTTTTGTTTCAGCTAGGGGGACCTCAGGTTCAGGTAGAGGGTTCAGTGTAGGTGTTTCATCGGATGATAGTAGCATCACGCCCTAGGTCTAAGCGAGTTGAATAGAAGCTTTTTATCCAAGAATCCTATTTCGAACTACTAAGTTAGGACAAAGGTCTAGTTACATGCACTGTGCAATTACAATTAATAGATCAGTTGCGTCACATCGGGTTTCGCCTGCTACTGGTAACATGTAAACCAGTACTACCTGTCCCATGGTCGGGTTGTCGGCGACTAAACCGGCTCCCCCACTGGGCTTGCACAGCGAGTAGGGTGCGTGAACACCCAGCAGGACTAACAACAAAACCTGTCAAAGGGCGGATGAGCTCCTTGCGAGCCAACGGGCATTCACCCCAAATATGGGTTAAATAATCTGGAGAAGGAATATGGGCCACTCCAGTATCTGGCCCAGCAAACAATGAAGTCAAACCAAAGGGAAATAAAGAGAAACCATGGAACGTCAGAACACTGTATCAAACAGGGAAACTGAACGATGTCCTTGTAGAAATGGACAGAATGAACTTCCGTTGTTTAGGTTTGTGTGAGATACGGTGGCCTAAGTCAGGTGATTTTACAAAAGACAGGAAACGTAATCTCTTTTCTGGAGGAAACCAACATGTTCATGGCGTTGATTTGATTCTTAACAAGAGCTTTGCCAACTCGGTACTTTCTTTTTGGCCCAAAAACGACCGAATGATGCTAGTTAAACTTAAAGTTATAGTCCTTATAACATCAATATTATTGTTGCATGTGCTCCAACGTCAGTGGCTGACAGCTCTGAGAGGGGGACCGATTTGTAGACTGGTGCAGAGATAAGAACCTAGTCATCACCAACACCTGATTCAAAGTACATCCAAGAAGACGCTACACATAGATCAGTCCTGGTAACCGAGCCAGGAATCAGATTGACTTTATTGCAATCAATTCAAGATTCCGAAATGCCATTAAGAATTCACATGCATTCCCAGGAGCAGATGTTGTTTCAGATCACAATCCAGTGATAGCCAAATTCAAATTATCACTCAAGCGCATTCAAAAATCCAAAGTCAAACCAAAGTTCGACTTCACAGCCATGCAACGTGACCCAGAGATATGCGACAAATTTAAAAGGGAAGTTCTCAAAAGTCTGCCAATATCAACCAACAATAATATAGAAAAATACTACCACCAAATAACGCAAACTATTCAAGAGGCAGCTGAGAACAACATTCCCAAAATGGAAGCCAAGAAACCATCATCCCACTGGTTCAGTTCTGAACTCAAAAATGTCTCTTACAGAAAAGAAGAATCTGCAAATCCAACCCCCTGCAATACAAACAAATAAACCAAGAATACATCAAGAAATGCCGCGATTCAAAAGAAGCTTGGTTAGAGGAAAAATGCAAAGAAGTTGAGAACCTTAATTTCAATGCCAAGAAAATGCTTCAAAAGACCCAGCAGGCATAGTTGCGTTGGATCAACGTTGAAAACAGGTTGATACGTTGAATTGCCGTTGATCTATCTAAATTCAACGTCAAATCAACGTTGATCCAGCCACGTCGAAACACCGTCATAATGTGACGTTGACTCAACGCTGTACTTTGGTCAGTGACACAACCCTGCAGTTATGGATTGTAATTTAAAATATTAATTATTGAAAACGTGATTCTTTGTTTATCAATACTGTTACTAAATTTATCAAAATAATAACAAAATGGTTTTAAAGTAAAAGTGACAGTTGTTTTGTGTCTTTAGTTAACTAGTGAATTTTCTTAACTTGTTATTCAGAAATACATTCCAATAAACTGAATTGCTTGCAAGGTCAGCTAACACTAGGATGAATAAGTTGCTGTAAAAGTGAATGAGTTAACAGTTCTTGGTAACCTGTTATAGATAGACAGGTTGAGGTGACTGTGACTTTGTTATATATTTATATATATATATATGGTTGTAGTTATCTTTATATATATATATATATATATATATATAAGAAAAGAACTATATATATTAATCTAAACCTTGGAAATTCTAACATAAAGGCCAAACATTTATACCCTACATATATTTAGCCATCAAACATGTCCTACTGCTAAACACATCCAGGCTAATTTCCCGCTAGGTGGGGTTGATAACATTATTTTCTGATGTTGATACAACGTTGTTATCTGAGGTTGACACAACTTTCAAATCCAAGGTTTATTCAATGTCTACTCAACGTTATGGTTCAACGTTGTTTCAACGTTAAAACAACATAATTTGCCCGCTGGGGATCAACGAGATTGTAGGTAAACGATCTACCCCTACTTCCAAATGCATTAAAGCTGCCGAATACCTGGCAAAAGTGCCCGAGGCAGACATCGAACGTCCTTTCTTGACAATTTTGAATTACCAACAAGACACCTTTGGTCATGGGCGAGAAATAGAACCCTTTGGCAGAATGTCATCGTTCGTCAAACACCGAATCGGTGATGGCACATGAAGAAAAAGAAGATCAGTTGCATGCTTGATTGTTTTTCCTCAGGTGTCGTATGTATGCATTCTTTCTTGAGAGATCTAAAACAAGTCGCTAGTGTACCATGTTTGTAACTGTAGCAAAATATGTTCGACATGGCGTTTCTGCAGCCGGAGACACAGTGATTGTATAGGCATGTTCGAGAGATAATAACAGTCGCGTTTAACAATAGATAGCGAACTATAGTAAGACCCCCTCCACTTTAACTGATGATTTACACTGTTAATTGACCGTACTTTCATATAGCGTATGATCACACAGTCAGACTTCCCCCTGCTGCACGTTGGAGTTGGATTGTCCTGGCGCCTCTGTCAAAGCACCTCACATAATTTCAATGTTATAATATAAATAAAGTGTAAGTAATATATTCTTTCCTGATTCCTCATTCATCATCATTCATGTTTTACAAATGCTTGAATGCAGTACGTTTATAAATAAATTATACATTTATAAATTAATGCAATAAGAATTTTTTTGAGACAGGTTAATGCTGACGCTCATGTATGTAATCAAACAAACAATACTTAGTTCAACTTTTGACTGCGGAAAATTTCATATTGGATGAAATAACTGATAAAAAATTTAACTACGGTAGCAGTTTGTTAGCAACACAAAACATAATCAGCTGCGCTTGCCAAGCTAGTGAACAAAAGGACAGTTCGCTACGCGTGGAACACGTTAGCATGGGTTCTAGCCTCTTAAAGCTATAATCCTATCGCTGCAACAAACAATAGGGACCTTCTGGCTGATGTATCCTGTTGTTAATTACACCTAGTTCAACGAATTCTCACGCTCGCGCTGGACCACAGAAACAGGCGTCATGGGGTTCAGTCGTCTTAAGTAATGTGTTATTCCACCTAAGCTATTGTGTTTGTGCGTTCGAATTTTGAAGGGATTAATACGGCTCTCCATTGTTTGCCCGCCCCTTCTATTCACAGGACAGGGATTAAAACATTTCAAACGTTGTTACACCGTGTACAACGGAAACAAAATTATTAATACCACTGTTTATTAAAAAATAAGGTTTATTTGCATCATTTTTCCTTTTATGCAGGTACAAAATAAAGATTAAAAATAAATCCATTCCTGTTTGTCTTAACTTTCAGGTCCATTCAGAATTAAAAGAGCCGAGTGCTAGCTAGGCCACGACCTAAATATGGTGTACCTACAAGGCCGCTTAATCCTGCAGTGGTCTTTCCGCCTCTCACACGGCTCCCCACGCGTCGTCCCTCGACTGGTTGAATGGGACCAAGCTTTAATTACTGTGAACCTGCAGGGATGACGCGTGGGGAGACGTGCGAGAGGTTAAGAGACAATTACAGGATTAAGCGGTCTTCCTTTCATGTTGGTCCGCCATATTCATATCGTGGCCTAGCTAGCACTCGGCTCCTTTCATTCTGAATGGTCCCTATATATTAAATTAACTGTAAATTAATGTAAAATCATTTAATAATCAACGTCAAGGTTTCTAATATTGAAACAACGTTGAACTATCAATCAGGATTCAATGTAACGTTGAATGCCAACGTTGATTCGATGTAACTTTTCAACGTTGACACAAATTTCCACTTTCAATAATAAGTCAACAAAAACTTATCATTGTGCCTCAATGTTGGATCATCGTTGAATCAACTACTGTGTGCCTGCTTGAGGGGGGGGGGGGGGGGTCTAGGTGGCGCAGTGGAGCTAGGGGGTAGTAGGCCACAATGTCGGTAGGGGGACACAATTGGGTGGAGGTAGGGGGCACAGTGGAAGAAGGGGGAAACAGTGGGTAGAGCACAGCAGGGTTAAGGTCAAAAGGGGACACATTGCAGGAGGGGAACACACCCCCGCTTCACACCCCGCAGATACCCCCGCTTCCCCATTTTATCACCCCCCCCCCCCATCAAAAAGAAATTAAAAAGATCAACGAGTAAAACGTGAAAAACGTAGGCCTAACCGATTTTTTCCATGTTTACCAGTAGTCTTATTGCCATCGTCGACTTAAATTCATCCCTCCGCCACCCTCTCGAGGGGTCCTGCATTGGTCCACCATTTATAATGTACATATTTATGTTTATAAACTATTAGAATATACATTTTAACGTCTGTTCCAGCCCAGAAAAAGACCGTAATGCCGATACTTGATAACGAGGCGTACCGGAAACAGCTCCGTGCATGGATTGGTGATCCGGCCTTGACCTTTGACCTTCTATACAGCGCCTCCAGAGACGGCTGCAGTGGTCAGGCTTTCCATACGAAGTGCAACAACCAAGGTCCGACTGTTTCTATCGGTCAAAACAGAGCTGGTTACGTCATAGGGGGGTACACGAGCATCGCGTGGACATCACGTGCAGGCTATTTTGATGATAGCTCTGCATTTCTGTTCCAACTTTCCCCAAACTTGGTAAAGTTCGCTCGGAATGGGAATGGGAGAGATGTTTATGACGACCGTGGTTATAGCCCTACGTTTGGAGGGGATTTAATCTTTAGGCAACGGGCATCTACTTGGTACCTTTTTAACTTGTTGGGAAGACATTCAAGGACACGGGAAGTCAGTGGACACGATCTTAAGTTCTTTTCCAATACATGTACTAAATCTGGCTATTACTTCAACACAAATGGCAGCAGTAACATAGGTAGCAGTTATAATGCCAATGGTTACAACGAGCAGTCATTTACTGGAAACAGCAATGCCTATCTCGACATTGAAGTATACGCTGTAAAAGGTAAGTGACATTTCTCTCTTCAACTTCTTGATATTGGGTTTAATGCCTAGTTTCAAATAATTTTATTAGCACCGAGTGCCTGGTTGTAGCAATTTAACAAAACCGAGGATTTTGAAAATGGGGGAAATGATGGCACTCATATATTTCTTACAATTTTGATCACATTCCATGGCAATACTTTGTCTACCCTTTATTAATAAGTGATTATGGTTAAAATGGCATACATCATACATCTTTGGTTATTTAAATTCTTTATTACAGAGGGAAATCCAGAAAATGAATTGTACCGGTATGAGCAAGATAAACCGTGGCGCAAAACTGACATAAAGGACTGGAGTTTTGAGGTACTTGTAGCCCTTTAAGTAACCTCAAAGAAAATTGAATTAATGTTGCGACATTTAAAAACATGGTGGCTTATTATTTTCATAGTGTACAGCATCGTCGCGCCACCTGCAAAATTGTACTTTTGAATCTGAAAACTAAAGCGAAAAGTAATTATTTTATGAAAATTGTTCTCAAAGAAAACTTGCACGTTTCGGATAATTGTCTTTATATCCCCACAGACTAGAGACACACTTTTAGATAGGTTGGTGTCGTTCTCCACTCCAAGCCCGGCCAAAGTCCCCTTCGCACGGCTCCTCCTGGTGGGCAGTGTGGGGGCGGGGAAATCCAGCTTCTTTAACACTGTGCGCTCTGTGTTTAGAGGTGAAGTCCGCAGCCTGGCGGCGACTGGGACAGCAACCCATAGCCTCACAACCAAGGTGAGTAAATGATGATGATAAATTATTTTGGTAAATGAAATGGGATGCTGTATTGTTATACGAAGAACCTTCTTCATAATTCTTTCTTTATACTTTTGTAAGGCGAAAATCAAGGTACAAATCACTTAATAAATTTATTTATTTATTTTTTTTTATTATCTGCTTTGATAGTTTCGTGTGTATGAGATCCGAGTAGGCCACCAGACGTCGGCGTTCCGTCTGTGTGACACCATGGGTCTCGCAGAGGACCAGGGGATAGATGTCGGGGACATGCCCTATCTGCTGGACGGTAACGTGCCGGACAATTTCCAGGTCAGTGAGGTGTTTAAAAACCTATCTGAAGCTTACCTATTGTATGTCGTTATTCTTTTCTCGGCCTCCTAGGATAACCATTCTCATTTTCTCAGGGCTGCAATACAAGACACCCCGCTATTTTCTTGCGCTAAAAAAAAACAACAGAGCATTGCATATGACGGAGGGTGTCCTTAGTAGTAATAAAAACCCGGAGCCTTACAAAAAGGATAGGCACATCTAACTATGTACTTTATTTCTTGCAATATGCGTTTTAATAAATATTTTACCACATTAAAAAGTAAAAAATGTTTATTTTGGTTGGCATAACAAGTGTATACGCAAGATTAAAAAGGTGGGTGTTTATTTAAATACGTTGAATACCGTTTTTATGAATTAAGGAGAACAAAAAAGACGTAGTGATGAGCATTCTTTTTATTGCCCTGATAGGGCCCTTTAACTATGTGTGTTATTTCTTGTAACATGCGTTCCAATATATATTTTACTACATTTTCAAGAAAAAAAAATATATTGGTTGTCATAACAAGTGTATACACACGATTCAAAAGGGAGGTGTTTATTCGAGTGAGTTGAACAACATTTTTATTAAATAAAGAAGAACAAAAGATGCAAAAGCCAGCATTTGTATTGATCAAAAAGCGGG